TGAGAAGAGGCACCGGGGCAGAGCAGGGCCATGGCGTCACACCCAAGGTCGGCAGGAAAAGCCAGGCCGTTAATGATTAGGTGGTGGAGCCACTGAGTCATTAGCCATTTGGTGAGTTAATCAGAACTAAGTGCGAGAGCAAAGGCCGACCTGGCGCCAGCTAATGAGCCTGGTCTGGAGAGGATCGCTGGGGAGACAGGTGGGTCCCAGCGCATATGGAAAGAGCCCAAAAGTGGGTGAAGGTGCGAGAGAGGCACCCACTCCCGGGGCCACCCACTGCCTGTGCCCTAACGCAGCCAAAGAGCCTCACCAGGCCCCCCTGCGCTGTAGGGCAGGGCAAGCCCAGGGGGTGTACGCTGCCTGGGCAGCGGGGCGGGGTCGGGGGTGCCGCCAGCCCCTGTGCAGTGAGGCCAGGTGTCCTTCGCTCCCCCAGGCTGCAGAGGACAGGCTTAATGGTCCCGGCGTGGCGGTGATCGAGCTGAGCGGGGAGGAGAGCAGCGCACGCCCCGAGCCCACCCTGCGCAGCCTGGGGCTGCCCCAGCCCAGCTTCCACACTGTTGTCTTGGACTTCAGCCCCGTCAGCTTCATGGACACCGTCTCCACCAAGATCGTGAAGAATGTAAGGGGCCAGGGGAGCAGGCAGGCCGGCAGCCTCTCCAAGGGTGTCCCCAAGGCCCTGTGGGGTGGCCTGATGGCCACTGCCCAACCCTCTTCCCAGACGACATGTTTTCTGCCAATTGCAGATCTTCAGGGATTTCCATGAGATCGAAGTGGATGTCTTCGTTGCCGGCTGCGCGGGTGAGGAGGCTCTGCAGAGCCATCAGCCCCTGCCGCTCATGCCCACCCCTTTGGGACACAGCTGCTGGCTTGGGGCTCCCTCCGTGGTGTCCTCATCCCCAGGGTTTCTCCAGGGCATAGGTGCTGCAGGCTGTCCCAGGGATCCAGTCTGAGCCTCGCAGCCCCCAGCAAGGCAGCTGGATCCCTGGTGATGGCCCCAGTGCCCCTGCAACGCAGGGGGAGGAAGGCTGCTCTGGGTGGGGGCCCCTGGGCTCAGCTGGGTGCCATAGCTTCGGATGTTTCTCCCTCCACACAGCGCCCGTGCTCGCCCAGCTGGAGAGGGGCAACTTCTTCAGCTCAGGCATCACCAAGCACTGCTTCTTCCCCTCGGTGCACGACGCCATAGTCCACATTAGTGAGGAGCGGCGCCAGGCCTC